ATTAGAAGTGGTTGAACCAAATGGAGGTTTTTTAAGGGCACCTGATAGAGATTTTTGGTATTATCATTTTGTTATTACTTTCAGTCTAATGTTATTGTGATTTTTAGTTTAAAGTGTTTTCTTCCTTATGTGTGTATAAACTGACCTGGAGGTTACGACTGACTTTTGGTATTATCATTTTGTTATTACTTTAGTTCATATTCAGTCTTACTTTAGTTCATATTCAGTCTAATGTTAATCAGTATTATTGTGATTTTTAGTTTAAAGTGTTTTCTTCCTTATGTGTGTATAACTCTGTGTTTCCCAGACCTTAATTCTTATCAACCAGAATACCTCCTAACTGCCTGTGAGCAGTCGTATTTTGTCTCGTTTATCCTCCCTCTTTGTCGACAGTTTGACCTAGAGCTGAACTGGGCTCAGATCGTAGATCAGATATCTGAGTTGCTGGTTTGTTTAGGTTAAATGTTTTACGACCTTTGTTGTTTTTTTTTTTTGGCTGTTCTGCTTTGACAATAAAACAGGGGCTCGCGTGGAAGGAGATCAGAATTCTCTGTGAACGGCCTGGAGAGGTCATGGCGAAGAGTTCTCCTTTTGCAAAAGCTTTGTCTATAAAATTCATATACGTTGTCTGTGGTCTTTTTATATAGGTTCGAGAAAAAGTACCTATCAGTAATTGTGTCTACATCACACTAACCTTGAGACTCACTGTTATCAACCACAGCGATCGGCTTTGCCAGAGACCTTTTGTTGCTCATCAATACGAACATTGTCTCTCCCGTCAGAGAAGAACAGTTTCTGAGGTCCGGGCACTGTACAGACAAAATGAGAAGATAAAAGACATTTGAGAAAGCTAAATTTACAACGCATGTGGATTCTTGACCTTACATAAAAACATAGAACATAAGTGGAAGACAGAGCTTGCAAGAGAAAGTATTATCTTAACCACTGTTTCCCAACCTTGAATGAATAGTATGTGAAAGTTTTGCCAAGTTGCACAAACAATATTTTTTTTCAATCTGGAAGTTGCTACTTTGAGGAAAGAACTCATTTACTATATATTTTCAGGAAACTGCACCGATTGCAGTTTCCTGTCCTATCACTGATCTTTATAAAACTGACCTGCTGATAACAATGTTGGAAAAACATGGGAACAGTGGCTGATTTTGTATTTGAGTAGCGGTAGGTAAAATTAGTAGATAACATCTGTTTGTCATGTAGATATCAGCCAATCAAAGATTTCCCAAAATTAAGGAAATGGAGGTTGATTTATTGGTGAACCCCTATTATTTTCATTATTATAGTGGTGTTAAAGATGAAATCAGTAGCTGGACAATTATATAAGGATCTATTTAAAAGAGAACTGTAGTTTTGCTATGTTCATTAAGGCTGTGAAAGAGCAAAGGAGGCTAAACACTTTATAGCAAAGTATCTTTTGTCCTTCTGAGTAGGCCTGTCACGATAAATTTTGCTGAGCGATTAACTGTCTAAAAATTTTTGTGATAAATGATTATATTGTTTCAAGACCTTTTGACACTGATTTAATGGAAATGATGTAATAATGCACGCTATTTCCTGCCATAGATATACACTTTATTTTCAAAAGAACACAAGAAGAAGGTTCTGGGTTTGGTCTTTCTGCATGGAGTTTACATGTTCTCCCTGTGCATGTGTGGGTTTTCTCTGGGTACTCCGGTTTCTTCCCACAGTCCAAAAACATGACTGTCTCCAAATTGTCCCTAGGTGTGAGTGTGTGTGTGCATGGTTGTTTGTCCTGTCTGTCTCTGTGTTTCTCTGCGACAAACTGGCAACCTGTCCAGGGTGACCCCGCCTCTCGCCCGGAACGTTAGCTGGAGATAGGCACCAGCACCTCCCGACCCCAATAAGGGACAAGGGTGTAAAGAAAATGGATGGATGGACTTGTAGCCATTATTTTGGGCTACAAGCCCAAAATAATGGCTGTGTGGCTGGAAACCACACCGCACAATCGAACCGTTATACCTAGGATTTCTGTCGGCTAATGTGTGGTCTCAGGTTTTGAAAATGTGCCGACAACTCGTGTCGTGTGCGCTGGACATTACACTAAGGAAATGAGGAAGGGAGGGTGAGTGGAGAGCACCAGAGTTGAGCCTTTTTTCATTCAGTGTCATCAAGAGAAAGAAAAAAAGGCAGGAAGAGACGATAAAGCCAATAATTAAAATGAGGTCGATAGGTTTAATTTATCTTGCGATTAATTGATTTATCGTTTATCGTGACAGGCCTACTTCTGAGTTTGCTGAATTTGGAAATGTGGGTTGCCTTTTGGTAGTGTTGGAAAGGCAGAATAATGGAGATTGCTGTTTTAGATATGTTTGCTGCACCAACTGCTAATACATGGTCCTAAAGATACTTTCAAACCTCTGCTTTGTTTTTTAAAAAGAAGTTGGAATCGGTCAAAATCAGTATCATAGGCAACATAGGCAGTAAAAACTGCCTATGTTGCTTTGCTCTTTGATACCTGACATGTTTCCAGCTGAGTTGATCTAACGTAAAATAGTCAATGGTAATATGAATAAACAAACTACTAATTCTGCATGGCTCTAGGGAGAACAACTCATCAGACATGAGCAGAAACAAAGGTCATGAGAGGATTTCATGCATACCTGTGGCAGTTCCTGGTTCCTCTGAGAATTCTCTGAGCACAGAGACATCTCACAGTGAAGAAAAACAAGTGTTTTGTTCAACATTTTGGAGTTGAAGGTGAAGCTAAAAGATTTCCCCTTCTTTCCAGAAGAAAACAAGAAGTGCCCCTGAGAGTTCTGGGTCCACTTAAGTGAGTTATCCTTGGTACAGAATGTCTCAATAAGGCTGTAGTCAGAGGACTCTGAGGGACTGGAGCTGGGGGAGATGAAGCATGAGGTGATGGTGAGTCCAATGTCAGGGTTTGATGCTGTTGACGTGATCTGGAGCACATAAGAGACAAAAGAAAAAAGGTTTTGAGCCAAATATACACATATAGTAATATAATCTACTCATTGCTCTTTGTCGTTAGAAGCATCTTCAAGAAATAATCTTAATGAACTTGTTAAAAACACCTGTTTACAGAACTGAGTAAAAATGGAATGTAGCTTTGACTTGTGTCGTAGTTATCTGCACACAGATTGTGGAAAGAAAATTCAGTCTTGCACTTTGTTTTCAGAGTAGTATCATTTTACATCCATGCATTCATTCATTTTCTTACACCCTTATCATGTTGGGGTTGGGAGGGGTTCTGGTGCCTATCTTTAGCTGTCAACGGGCGAGAGGCGGGGTCTCAGGGCAACACAGAGACAGACAGGACAAACAACCATGCACACACACACTCACACCTGAGGAGAATTTAGAGAGACCAATTAATCTAACAGTCATATTTTTGGACCGTGGGAGGAAGCCAGAGTACCCAGAGAGAACCTGTGCGTGCACAGGGAGAACATGCAAACTCAATGCCTAAACACCCCGGGCCGGGAATCGAACCCAGGACCTTCTTGCTGCAACAGTGTTATCCACTGCTCCTCTGTGCAGCCCCATTTTACATCCAATTCTATGGTATTCTCTTCTGTATTACTTATGTAAAAGATTATACACGATTGGAAAATTAGTTTTTTGAACTAATAAGAGTACCGCTTTTGATCATGAACAATTGGCTTATTCTCACTTTGTCCCTCCATAAATGGAAGTTTCACATGACAATTAGATAATTTAAAATGCTTACTGATGCTAAACCAAAAATGTAGAGGGTGTTTTTTATCTGCACATTTACACTTTACACATTTAGGTAGATCTTTTTTGTCGGAACATTAGCAACTGTTTGTGCTTGTTAGCACACAAAATGCGAATGCTTTCCAGCAATAATTTGTGAACGCTACTATATTTACTGAGGTGATTACTGCCAGTGATGTTCAGTTTTTTTGTTTCTTTATTTTACTTAGTTGCTTTAAGTTTTTCAGAATGTAGAATATCTTTGCACTACATCATGTTTTCGCATTCTTCTGAAGTTGCTTTGCCAAATGTTAAATGTTTTTTTTTTTTTTTTATGCCATTAAATCTAAAAGTATTTACCATAACTGCATTGAATTTCCACAGTGGGTAACACTGTTACTCTGTGGTTATTACTGAAGTTTACTGTGTGGAGTTTCTGGCCTTTGCCTGAGGTCAGGTCTCAGCACAGTGTGAGCTCTAGAAGAAGGTTAAGCCATAGAATAGACAGGCAAAACTTTGTCCTCTCCGCCAGTGAAGAGTCTCCTGCTGACAGCATCATAAATCACTTTTTCAAAGGACTTTTGGACCATCAGCTTTCACCATAAATGAGGACCAAAATTACTGCTTCTAATCAAATATGTTAAGCTAGACAGACAGGATAGCAATACATGCAGAGAGGGAATTAAATGAATGTGGGGCGCTCAAAGTAAGCTGAGCATCTTGGCCCCAACACAACAAAACAGAATCATGCATTGCTGATGCCACTCACAGAGATCAAAGAGAGCCTACAGTAAGGTCACACAGCATGTTTCACTCAAAAAGTGATTAAATTTTAAGAAAAGAAAATAAACAGTGGGATATGAATGCAAAACATTACCTGCACAACCACTTCCATTTGGTCAGAAACTTTGAAGATGCGCTGTTGTGGAGGATTGTTGAAAAACGGAGTCTTGTACAGCTCCATCTCAAAACTTATGCTGTTGACTGGCTGTCCTGGAATTGCCCCAAAAGCAGGTTTAGTATTTGGGACTTCCTTGGATTTTCTATATGTGCAGTTGAACTAGAAAAAGAACAAAATACAAAAAAATAACAATTAGGAAGGACCAGATGTTAAACTGCATGAATGTTTGTGTTTGTTAGAGAACAGATTAATGAAGGTCAAAAAACACAGCAGACAGGTTAGGGAGAATGTGGTGGAGAAATTGTTTTACACAGCCTGTAAACATGGCTGTGGGGGATTCAGTTGACACATTAAATATAGGCTGTCCATCTCCTAAATCTGGCCTTTATGGAGGAGTAATAAAAAAAAAAACAGGTTGAAAGAAAACTGCAAGACAGTCAATAAGGCAAGCAGTCAAATGAGACTAACCCTGAACTTTTTGGCCAATGCAAAAAACAGAATAAATGGCAGAAAACTAACACTGTACTTCAACTTGAACACCCCACAATCACTGCTAAACATTGGGGTGGAAGCATCAGCTTGAAAGGATGCTTTAACCAGCAGGGAAATTGAAACTGGTAGGAGTTGTTGGAAGAGGTATGAGATAACACAAGCAATGGCAAGGAATTCAGAAATGGATTGATGAGATAAAGGAAAATATATTGGTTAAGTTTTGGAGACATTTCAAAATGGAAAAGTCAGGTCAGGGTTATTCATGGATATCATGGAAAGATGGGGAGTCTGCTGTGGTCAAGTAAGTTTTACAGCCACCAAGGGGTTCTGAGAAATAAAATTTCCTCCAACTGTCCACTCAACTATTCTTTGACATTTCAGTCTGATTGCAGCTGCTGAGGAGAACAGCTCTCGTAGAAAAATGCTCTGACTTACGTTTATCAAAGGAGCTGGTGGATTTGGTTCAGTCTGTGTACTCTCTGCAGCTTCTCCAAGTCTGGGGAACCAGGTGGAGATTGGATCATCATCACCCTGCGCCTCTTCAGAAATCACTGTCACCTGTAGTCCGCCGAGAAAACGATTACTTTACATTCACAAAAACTATTTTCAGACCTGACGAGCACCATTCTGTGAAAGTTGCCTAATTTTAGCAAATATTTCAGCACTTTGGATAGGACTCAGCTTAATATTACTTTGTAAATTGTAAAAATTTAGGAAGCACAATAGGTGCAGACTTAAAGGAGAACAAAAAACATATTTACAGTATCTCAGAGAAAGAGGTCACAGACAAAGCATGCTGCTCTAAAAGCATGCGATTTAATGATGAGAAAACAAAGTTGGTCAAACAATGAGGCTATTTTGATGTCTGGACAAAATATTTGCTGACCCAGCATTGGAGCCATCAAAGAATTAAGTCAACACACAACAGAAGATACAATTACTATAACTGATTATCTCTGATATGTGGGGACCCAGGCAATGAACATGAATGTCTTTTGAGCACAAGTCAGAGATGGCCCCAGCGCTAATGCACTGACACAAAGGATGACCTTGGACAAACGCCCAGGTTTTCAATCTGTGACAGAAGAAAGTGTTGTTCCAAATTTCCCCTCACAAAAAGATTTCAAAAGGCCAGAGAGGAAGTGATTCATCCTGACTTGTTAGAACAAATGCGCTGAATGAATGCATTCCCATATAATGATGATAACTAGGAATGTCAGACGTGAACAATGATTAAAAAAAGAAAAAGTTCAACATTATATAAAACTTTAAAGTAATCATATTCTACTTCCAAAATGTGAAGTATTATCCCTCCTCAGTTGTTTGTATAATGTGTTTAGATGAGCCGTTTGTAGAGTCTCGACATGAGCAGTTCTTATCAAGTCACATTAAGGAGCATAGCTCTTCAAAATCTAGATACACAGCTATCTAATCTGTTTAGTTACAAATTTATATGATTACGTCATTTACTAGATGGATAAAGTAAACATTGTGCTCCCTAGTAAGCAACAGTGGATTTTGGCACCACTGCTGCTCATCACATGGCTCTCACCAAGCAGATGTAACAACCAATCCTTGCTCATCAAATGAAAAAAAAAAAAAGCTTGTTATATTAAGGCTCCTAACAAATCACAACAGTATGTGCTATTTGTTATTTAAAGAGAAGGCAATAAAATTCACCAGGGATATGCTGATCCACTTTTTTCACATCTGATATCGATACAGATATCTGAGGTTTAGTATATTATCCAATATAATCTGTTACGATACGAACTGATCCGATACAAACTGTGCAGAATTGACTTAAAATGTTTCTTTTTTTTGAACACAGACATAAATGTACTGAATAACAAATTTAATTGATAACTCTTTACCAGTACAGCACTCTCAAATACACCAATAGCTTCACAAGCTTGGTCAAATATGTAAAAAATAAACTGCAACAAACATTATTTTAAATAGTTCATAAAATATAATTAGTAATTCTAGATATAATGTAAAATAAATAATAAAGCATGATGCCGCTCAGTAAACAAAGCATAGAATTAGACAGAGTAGATCTACCCTTATAGATCAAGTATACTGTCACCAATACCGAATATAGAATTTTTTCTAATATCAGGACCGGTACAGATCGGTGTATCTCTAGTTTTGACAGAGGAAATAGAGGAGCTGGTGATCCAGCAATAATCTTCCAGCCACTTTAGGTGTTATTTGATTTTGGTCCCTGTCTGATTGAGTTATCTACTTCAGGTAAGATACCAATAGCTTTTAACTTTATAACAGAAAGTCACTTACATGTTTTAAAATATCTGTTTAAGTAACAGTACAAGCAATATCTAATAAAGACTTAGCTAAGATAGTATGAAGTCAGTACAGGTCATTGAAATAATATGCATTCCCCATTGTTAGGCCTTTTATTAAGAAAAAGAGACATGGCATATACTCACAGAGTTGATATGAAGGACATCTTGGGTATCATGCACAGGAAACACAATGGTGCCACATTCAGTCAGAGGTGTCTCCAGTGTGTAGTGGGTTGCATTGACTTTTGCTTTGCATTCTGGGTTTTTCAACATGAGGCTGGCATTAGCAAATCCTTTTGCCTAGGAAAACATTCAAACACAGCAACACTGGATAAAGATCAAGTACAGTATGCCTTTATGAAGTCAATTTCAGAATTGTATAAGTAAAAAGCAGGATAAAAACGCTAAAGTGGTGGTTGTGTAATGGAGTTCTCAGGAATAAACAAATCCCACAAGGTGGTCTGGCTCCAACTATTAATTACAGAGTGTGCCAGTTTCCATTCTGTGATGTGGACTGACTGAGCTGTACCCACGTATCTGCGCCAAATGTTTGCTACAGCACTGCATGGCTCAGTGTAAGCCTATGTGAAAACAGTTCGCTTCATTACAATTTAATATTTCACTTCTTTATGACCAAGACACTCTTTCACATCGTTTTTGCACAGCAGATGAAACACTGAAGTAGACAACGGGAATTGCTGATGCATTGACATGTCACACGCAGATTGGTCTGTTATCACATAATCATCATCAGTTGATGTTTGTCATTTTAATAACTCTCATTTGGAGATTCTATGAGCTTTTGAAGCATTGTCAATAGAGTTTTGTTGTTAATTACTGTGGAGATGACAATCAATAAGGTTCATAATTAATGGGGAGATCATTCTTTGTTGGGTGTCTGCCATTTAGGCTGTTTTTGGTCCTTCTATTCAAAGTTTGTCAGATTAAGTTTGTGCTGCATGAACAAAAACTTGACAAAAAACATTTATTAGGTCAAACCTAACTTCAATATAATTTTTATTACATTGCAGTTTGCAAATTGGCCAGAAAACTATAACAACTGTTGTTTTGTTTTAAACATGTAGAATTGTTTAAAGTGCTGTCCTTGATGAAAAAATTGAATTGAACTTATTTTTCTATGTGGGGCATGTTTTTCTTGATAGAAAGAAAAAAATAAAATATGCAGTTAACAAGGTATATTTAGTCATTTTGAGGCATTTCCTGTACCAAAATATATCAATGTACAGATATTTTTAATTTTATTTATAACTATATTTGTTATGTTTTTCAGGATGATTTGTCTGTTTTACAAATCACGAATAATGCACGAATAATAAATAATACCAAAAAAGCTGTTTTTAAGTAACATCAGTAGCTAGTCCTGTGAGGCATATACACTCACCTCCAGGCTCTTCCTGTCAATGCTGACGACCATCCTCTTTTCTTCACATTGAACGATGAGTTCAACATCCAAAACATTTCTATCCTCAACGGGCTCTTCGTTGTCATAGTTCAGGTTGGGCAAACTGATGGGCAAGTATGGAAATGGAAAGGGCAGACTGGAGTGTGGTGCCGCAGGTGGTGCCGCAGGTCCTTTTTCTGGCAGAGGGCTGACATGACGCAGGTTGAACAGCTCAGGAGGCAATCTGCTCTCCAGATGATCTGATACATCTGGAAGACACACGCAGCCTGGTGATGATGACTTTCACCAGATAGAATAACTCTTTGGTGTGACTGTGACCTTCAGGTTACCTTGCTCTCGCAGTCGGATGTTGAAATGGTTTGCCATAGGGGTGCTGGTGTAAGAGGTGACTGGATTATAGCCGTTCTCTACTGCCCACTTGATCAAGGCTTGTGATCCTGATGGCAAAAGCTGTCTGGGGGAAGTCGTCTCTACCATCTGGGAGTTAATGGTCACTGTATCAGAAGCCTGTGGAATAGTCACTTCATCAGATGTTTGTTTTTCTTAACCCTTACCCTAACACCCCCCACTCTCACCTCCTACCACTTTGATCATCTCTTCATAGATCATAAAAGAAAAAACTTAGTATATTGGCATCATTAGGATATTCATCAAGTACAGTCCTGTACTTTTTCTGTGGTGAGCGTGAATCATGTGAATGCAGCTGAGGTAATGGGCGTGTAACAGCCTGATCAGAGCTGAGAAGTCTGTTAGTTTGCTCTTAAAAGTTAGGCTCCTGCCCTGCTTCTCCCACCGTGTGAGGATTTGTTCTTTCTCACAGTCATTTCCCACACAGTCAAGCCTCTTGGGCAACGCCAACAAAAGTTTATTAGGCCATCAAATGACTTGCATAGCTGAGCATCTACAAAACAGTGATTGCACAAGCACAGCATCCTGTCTACCCTCACTGTCAAGTGAAAGTGTCAGCAGTTTGTTATTGGGATTAGGACAGTAGTTTACCTGGAGCCTACAGTGTTACACTGGCTTTACCAGCTGTTTGTAGCCGTTCTGGTTTACAGGAAGACTCCTCTGTGACTATTTCAATACACTGATCAGAGACATAACTATAATAACAATATCAGTCTGAGTGGTGTTCATGCACAGACACTGGTGTCGAGTTTGTTACGAGAATGTCACTAAGGATGTGATTTAATAACAGCTGTGGATAGTGGGGAATGTGTTGACACACTGTGTTTCTGCATGGTACTCCAGCTGCAATATGGCACCACTGCAGGAACATGACTCTGACCATCAGACTCGTTTCACCCTCTCCATGAACTTCATGAACCACTGCTACCAGTCAAAGGGAACCGCAACATCAAAAGCACAACTGTTAGAGCTGTACAGACCCTAAACATGTCAAAAATGTCAAAAAAATAATTACACTTATTTTATGTTTTACCTATATTTGTATATATTGTGTTTGTGTGTGTGTGTGTGTGTGTGTGTTTGTGTGTGTGTATTTTTTATTATTATTACTCATTTCTGAAATGGAGTTCTGAAATCTGAAATTAGTAGATTTTATAATGTGGCTCTAGCGATTTTTGGCCAGGAAACTATCGAATTTTATCCCTCTGTTCCAGGATTCTCCCGTATCAGTATTTACCCGTAAATTTCCCATATTTGACTAATTACGTCGCACACCCCCAGTGATAGCACATCTATATGGTAGCCTTCTTGTCTTCTTCATACCTCCAACCCCACAACAACTCCCTCCCTCCCGCTCCTATGGTACTCTGTAATACAGCCAAACAAACCTCTGGTTCCTCTGGCATTTCCTCAGACATTTCATGAAAAGGACTTCAAACTGTACATGAACAATTCAACTTTAGTGCTATTAAAACCATATCTTTTTAAAATGTTACCTAGATAATGCTGACTGACAAATGGCTATTAAATACGCTATAAGGCATGTATTCACCAAAGCCACCCAAATTCAATGTCTAGTTTTCTAAAGTAAAAATATTTCAGATTGAAATGAAAACTTAAATAGCTAAAGATTGGGGTTTGAGAGTCCGGTTAGCTCTGTGCTACATTTTAAGGTCAAGAACTAAACACAATAGCTGCTGATGGTTGAGTTTACTCTAGGTGGCAACAATGAGTCGCAGTAGTAACTGTAAATAAACACAAATATTCACCTTTACACAACTCTACACTATGTAAACATAGTAGTTAATCCTATATCACCTTTCTGTCGACTGTTCACCCACTGACACGTGAAGTTCTAAGGGTTTGACCTGGATTTACACTCAGACAATCTGACTAATTTGATGTAAAGCAGCCACCAAACAGCTGTGCAAATACAAAGCGCCTGTGAAAAGTGTGGTGTCATGGCTGCAGCAGCATTAGCTTTACCACACACTAAGGAAATGTTGAGCCACCAGGACCACCTCCTCTCAGATGAATACTGGAAGAAGACAGCCTAGAGGTGCATGCGAGACAGCAGCACACTGACAAGCAGAGACAATCCATCACATAATGAATACCTCTGCCAACATATTTATGAGACATTTTGAAAAGCAGAATACTGATGAGGCTCTTCCAGCTTTTTTTTGTTTTTTTTTACACTGATTTACACGAGAGACTAATTCCAACTGCAAGTTATGTATCAACATGATATACAGCTACACTCTTCTTTCTGTGTAGGTGCTACATTTTTAAAGTTGCCATAGAGACTTGAACGGCACAAAAATATTTAATAGCAATTCTGCTGTACTCATGCTGTGCATAATTAACATGCCACTCAGGATCGTGTGCTGAAGTTTTTAACATATGGTGAAGTTAGTTTTGAATTTTTCACATGTATGAAGTGACATCAACAAACCTGAAAATAAATGTCTGGGATTTTAAGTGACATATCAACACCATATAGTGTATAGCAGTGTACTGGAAGGAAAATGACAAAAGGTTTTCATTGCTCTGAAAAATATCTGAACTATCAAAAAAGTTAGCATTTGGAATAAGACCCCTTTATTTTGATATCCTTAAAACAGAGTCCACCTTTTTGTCATTTGATCTCAATATAAATCCAGCTGGTCTATGAGGGTCTCAAGGTTTGCTAGAGAACAATAGAAAATAAACAGTATCATGGCAGACCAACAATGAAATGGTTTAGATTGAAGACTGAATATGTTCGTGTTCTAGAATGGCCTAGTCAAAGTTCAGACAAAAATCTAATTTGTGCCAAGCCTTGGAAATTGATGTTCACAGATGTTACTCATCTAACCTGACTGACCTTAAGCTATTTTACAAAAAGAAAAAAGAAAAATGAGTGGCTTTAATTGATTAAAGGTAACACTTTTAATTAAAGGGGGTGGGCTTAAGACTGACATGACACTCTCATAAACATGACAGAACACCTGTTATAAACATGATGGAGTCATAATCAATGCTTATGACTGATGTCATGAAGTGTGATTTGGTAAATAATGACACGTTTAATGCAAATTTGACCATTTTAAATTACTTTTAATGCAAGTTTTAATGGAACTTTACATTAAAGGTGTCATTAATTACTGAATAATGCAAAGTTCGCACTTTTAATGAACTTTTAATGCAACTTTTAGTACAATTTTTTATTAAAAGTGTCATTATTTACTGAATGACACTTCAGAATAACAGTCATAGACATTTATGAAGAGTCATTGATGTTCATGACAAGTATTGTCATGGTTTTGACAGTGTCACGTCGTCTTATGCTCACCCCTTCAAATAAAATGTTACGGGGTAGTTAGATAACTAGGGTCAAATTACAGTATATGTAATTTACTCTTTATGACTGAATCTGATGGTTTCAGTCATACAGACTGAATCCATTATTAATGTATGTAATTAGGATAATTAATTTATCATTTTCTATGGAGTGCCTTAAGATGACATTTGTTGTATATTTAATAAACACATAAATACATAATACATTATGTTGCAAAGCAACGCAGAAATCGCATTTCTTCTAAACCAGTTGTGCCATGAGGACAAGGTGCCATTCCAAACACGTCTTGGTGTGACAAATCTCTTTTCAAGTGGTACACAAAGTAAAGATTTCTTGTGAGCCAGAGTAAATTTTTTTCTTACCACAACCTCCAAATTCCCCCGCATATTGTGGGCTTTGACAACCCAGTGGACAGACTTTGCACATCTGAGCACCAATGTGACATCTCGCACCACCAAGTCATCGTCCTTCAGAGGCCTTAGATCCACAATGACATCCACCTGGAAAGCGCTACAGAAAAAAAAGCAAAAGATGGAAAAGAACCACAGTGTTATCATGCTTCCTATGTCTATCCAACTAATTAAAAAGCTGGGTGCACTCCCAGAAAATAAACAGACATGTGCACCACAGATGATACAGCACCAAGGAGAGATACTGAACACATACTAAAATGTTCCCAGATTTACACTCTTGTGTTTTCTGAATTCTGCTGCAACAAATACTGAAGGCATTGTGCGACAGCTTGGTCTTTGAGAGCTTGTTTTGGAAAACGTTCCTCAAAGGAACCCCACTGTGTGGACAGCTAAGCCCCCTCTGTCGTCATCTTTGCTCGAATCCAAAATAAACTCTACAGAGATTACTGAGAGCATCCTGCCCTTAAAAATAGGCCATGACAGAATGTACTTTTGGCTTTGGACATGTTGGCTGCTTACCTGCTGGAGTTCGGGGCTTGCAGCTCAATGATGTGTACTTCTCTGTTGGGCACAGACAGGATGCAACCCTTTGACGTCTGTGGCTCCTCATAGCTGCCCAGGTAGTTCAGAGACAGGAACCTGGTGTCAATCTTGCAAGTGTCAGAAAACACTGAGTCTGAGGAAAAGAGAGAAATTGTTTGTGTTATTGCCTGGGTCATCTACAAATGTATTCTGATCTAAACTGAAACAGATTAATAAACTACAAAAGATGCCAGCCCTGTCAACTTTAAGTCCAAGCTAAAGCCTAATGTCTTTGGCACACACCAAAGCTTCATCAACCATGGCTAGACCTATTTTAGACATTGATTAGACCTTGGCTAGACCAATACTGAGGAAGACTATGTCTATGGGCCCAGTTGAGATGCCCAGCAAGAACCTATCCATCCTCATAAAACTCCACAGAAAATGTGAAGGAGTGGAAATTTACAGCTCTCTATGTGAAGTATGAATCATGTCAATTGGCGATTTGCCAAACCACAGCGATACAAGGCAACTGCTTGAAGGCAGAAAGACCATTCTGCTTACCACAGGCTCACAAGGAGAGAGGACTTACTAATCAGCTAATCAGCAGCAATAATGCAGCCAAGATTTCCTGCATGATTTGCTTCATTCGCATGCAAAGATTATCAGTAAATACAAGATTCTTTGTCTGAGAGTTGATGAACTGCAAACCTCAATCGGACGTCTGATTACTGTACAAGCAGCATATGAACGGTAAAACAGCTTCTTTAGCTGTAGCTTCTTTACTGATTCTTTCTCTCTTTTGTCTGTATGCCTTTCACAGGAAATGTTAACATTTTGGGTTTTTCTCTTTGACAAAGCCAACCCTCCTTAATCAAAGATAACAATGGTATTTTGTAAAGTGGAAATGATTCATTATCTCTATCACACTGTTGCATATCCATCTTGTATTTCAAAGAACAGAATGATATGAGATCTTAGTTACATACCACTTTTTCCTGAAGCATAAACAATTTCATCTCCAGCAAAGCCAGGCTCCCACAGAATGTTTATGTACACGTCAAAATAAATTCTGCTTTGTAATGCTGCAACACCACATAAACTGTAGTCTTCATAGAAATGAGAGGACTTAATGTTTCAGAAAAAATATTTCTTTTCCCTGTTTTTCCCATTTATAAGACAACTTTCAAATATGCCAACATACGGGGCAAAGTAAAAACAAAAGAAATGTAATAGTAGCTGAAAGACTGAAACTGTTCTTCTCTTCCCCCTGGTAGCCTCCAGTGTCACAGATTCCATGTTATTATTTTCCTCTTTTACACCATTTCAGCATATCCTCCTTCACTACATATATGAACTTGTCTACCTGTCTATCTGTCCAATAAATCTGACAAGCATATGATGAACCAGAAAACTCTGAGTAGCATACACATCCAGCCTAACGTTAACTTACTTAGCATTAGCTGCAGGAAGTGGAGGTAACAGGCGGAGGCCCCTGTTAACTCTTCCTGTCTGTTATTTATATTTGTTCTCCCTATTTTTTCCCCTCCCATCTCATCCTCGTCACCTTGGAGCACAGGACGCAATGTCAAAATTTTCAAAAAAAATCATAGATTTGATTTGAATGTAGCTAGGCAATCCAATTGAAAAAACCCTGAGATCTTGAGAATAAATTCAGAGTCTAACAGATCAAAACAAGACAGAGTAAAAATGCAATCAGGACTGAGACAAGGCAAAGAGTGAAAATGCGGTCTCAAACCAGTCTTGAGACCCAGATCAAGACCCATGACAAATAACAGCATGAACCTTCTCTGTGGTCTTCCTCCCTTCAGGCAGTTTTCTATCCAACATCCTTTATTCCATATATCAAATATCCTGCTTCACATCTCCAAACTCAGGCTTACCTCTCTAACCTTGTCTCTCACAACTTGAACAGTTTCAACAATCAAATCCCTCTTGACGTGTGTCTGCATTTATTCCATCCTGACTGCATTCTTCTTCACCTCTCTTGTGTACTGCCTGTTGCTTTCAATGGTTCATCCCCAGGTCTGAAACAATTCCAACTTGAGTACATCCAACTCCCTTCCAGCTTCACTGCTCTACCTCTCTCTCTTTGACAAGGACATGCACTTCATATTTGCTATTAAATCTTTTTTCAGATTTTAGCTTCTCTTCCACATTGTCTTTATGAGACTACAGAACAAACATGGAAACACAAATAATTTATTGCAGATATGGACAAAAATATTGTGTACAAAAACAAATGAGATAAATTGACATTTTGTTTCAACTGTGAATGTATATTAAGCTCTGATCTGTAGTTGGCATGGGGGTAAATTTGCATCTGAAGGTACACTGATATATGTGTGGGTATACTATGCATTCACATATCTGTGTACACAACACAGTATATGTATACACAAGTGTATACATATATATCTCAATCAAAATAGTATTGAATCATTATTTTGATTGAGAATTTGTATGTAAACCTGCAGACAGGACTGGATAAGCTATTGCTTCTTCCTGTTCTATTTTTGAACATCTTTTGTTGTTTGTTTGAAATTGTATGTTTTCACCCACGTTTCGTTTCCTGTATTTATGGTTGCTTAAATTTTTAGGTTTTTGAAAACAACAAACAAAAAAAAATAAAGAAATATTATCATATTATATTGATTGGAAAATCAATATTACTTTTGCATTTTTAATGCACCACATGTGGTTTTTAATGCATACTGTGGTTTTAATGCACCACAGTATGCAGTAAGCACGTAACTCCTTTCTGTGGATGTTGTTAGTGTGAAGAATTGCCAGTTATCTATTTTCAGTATCCAAGAGTTGCTAATTAATCAAGGAAAAGCAATATGTGAGGATCACTGAAAGACAAACTGCAGTTTTCATTATTCACACATGTCCAAATACAGCAAAGCTGTTCAATTTTATTCTTCTGAGCTATCAGCTTCTGTCTGTTACGAACCACTCTGGAGTTGAAAAGGCTTTCTGTCTTTTTGGAAATCTCAGAGGTAAAAAGTCAGCACTCTCTAGAACACACAGAGACCACTGTTTTACGTTTTAATGCTAGTTAGCTGTGTGAATCCCCAATATAAGATGCTAACAATCAGACTTTTTTTCTGTCTTACAATCATAAAATGTTGTTTTATAGCAGGTTATATCACCTCTGCTCTTAAGAGTCAATAATTTAAAAAATAAACCTCTGATGGTCTTCAACAAATTATAATTATACATGCTACATGCTTTGATTTTTCAGTAAATCTTTTAAGATATTCAGACAAACCCCAAAACATATTCATTTCATCAAAATATATATTTTTCACAAATTTTTACTTTTCATCTTAACATAAACAGCTGAAAATAGTTTATTTTATATAAATATTGTAATATTTGCTAATAAATTCCACCAGAAACCTAAAAACCAGTGTAATCATACTTATTTATTTTAAAGTTGCTGTAGTTTTGCCAAATTCAACCCTCATTCCTCACAAGTCTAATAATTCGTAACACTGTAAAGAAGCCAAACTAAGAAAAACCACAAATGGGCAATAAAACAGTGTGAGGAGGTGAATTCCATTTGAGGGAAGGCAGTTCTTTTCTCAAGTGCAGTGAAAGTAAACCTCTAGGCTGGGCCACAACACAAAAGCTAAGCAAAGTTACGCAAGCTAAAGGTCAGTGGGGTCGAGGGGCTGCTCGGGGGCCCAGAGCTATGTTTGCGAGTTTACTGAATCTGGTGCGCACCTTCTCCAACTTTGATGTAGATGGCTTGAGTCATCCTGAGCTCAGAGAAAGAGGTGACTGCCCTGTACTTCTTCTGGGCCCAGTTGAGGAGATGTTCGTTGCCTTGGGGAAGGTTTTCCTTCTGGATCCGAGTGTTGAGGGAGAAGTTGGCCTGTTTAAAGAGGACCTCTGAGCCCAGTGATACCTGAAGGAGGAGAAAAGAGAGCAGTGTTAGGAGACAAAGGAGCTGTTGGAAAAAAAATAAATCTGTTGTCAGTTCTATTCCACGTCTGTCTTCAGCTAAGCAACAACACTCGTGTCCAACATGAGGAATTTACAACAAAAAAAAAGCCTCTGTGGTTGTCGTTAAGAGATAGTATTGTTAATTGAAAAAGATAGTGTTAATAATAAAGTTATTTTTTTGACTTTGATCTTTGCTTCCAGCAGGACGACGACCCCAAACGTACAGCCGAACCTACAATGGAATGGTTCAGATTGAAGTATGTTCAAGTGTTAGTCATAGTCCAAACCTAAATCCAGTTGGGACTCTGTGGCAAAGTTTGAAAATTGTCCAAAGTGTCCTCCATCCAATCTCACTGAGCATGAGCTGTTTTGCATAGAATAATGAGCAGAGTGTTTACCATATAGATTCATAAAACTACTAGAGTAAAGACTTGAAGCTGCACTGGCATAGAAAATTGGTTCCACCTCTTACTGAATGGAGGTTGAATGAAAACACATGCCACTGGAATTCTGGTTTTTATTTTTGAAAAATGTTCCTTCACTTCATTATGCACTACTTTGTGTTAGTATGTCACATAAAATCACAGTGAAATACCTAGAAGTTTGTGATTGTAATGAGACAAAATGTGGAAAACTTTCAGGGATATGAATACTTTAGTCCACAAAATCTGGATGTGAGGAGTTAGTAGACCAACTCAACATGGCTGCTTTAGGTCTATTTTCATCTGAGACATTTGGGGCTAAAAAGAACATGGTGAAGGTCTGTTTTGAAAATTAATCCACCTCTTTAAACATGGCGGAAACCAATCCCTCACTCTGCCCAAACTATTACTGCAAAGCTTCCACAAATATGCTCTGCCTGTTTTCTACCCACGTCCCTGAACTTGGTGTGGTGTCTGGTTTTCACTGTTTACGCCATAGTAGAATGTCGTAGGTGCGTTTTCAAAATAGCCACGAGAGGTCGGGGAGCACGAAAGTACTTCACAGCAAATAAACCATTAGACGGAGCCCACCGCCAGAAGAACACAGACCTGCACGTTTGTGTAGCAGGTAAAAGTGTTCCAGTCTGATTTGTAAAATGAAAAACAAAAGTAGGAAAAGAAAGACTGGCCAGAATATATTAAGGAAGGCCCACCTTTGGCATATAATGCAGCTCAACCATGTGACTTACTGCACAGAGATAAACATTTCCATGTGCTGGAAGGCTACCTAACAACCAAATGATTCCAAGAGTATGGCGTAGACAGTCTACCTCATTTTATTTCTGTGCTTATTTTTCTTTCTTCCAGTGTAGCCCAGTCTGTGTGTGTGTACTCAGACAGTCAAGGCAGTCCCAATTAAAACATTAAATGCATTTCACTCCAAGCATATTACGCAAGACCTTTTTATAGCAATGCAACAAAGTTACCCCTTAATGGTCATCAAGTTTAATAATAATATAGCGATGAGTCTTTGTGGCGTTTAAGTCAAGCAGATGTGTATTTCTTTTTTTTTTATCCTCGTGGGCAACATCTGTCTGACCTCTGGACGTTCCTCTCCATGTTCCTGACATTGTCACCGGAGGCTGTAAATCCTCCACACAGACTCTGTCGCCAGATTCGCTTTTACTTTATTTTTAGTGACTTTACTACAACGAGAAGCTGCAGAGGAGAAGATTACGAAAAGCGAATGGGTGGAGCCCGGAGCTGCTGAGAAGCAGGGGTGGAGTTTCTTCACTATTCTTGCCAAGCTCAGCAGAGTTTATCAGTTTAATTGCGGGAATACGACCATAATTAGTCACAGAGAATTACAGGGGGAAAGCCTGAAAGCCAAATTAGCTCCAGGCCTTCCAGAGAGCTGAAAACCTCAGGAATCTGAAACAGGGAAGCGAGGGACCCACTCTGGGCTTTAACTAACTTTCTCCACTCGCATTCCATCTTGACTTAGCTGACAGATGAAACGGAGCTGAAAAAAAGAAAACAAAGAGCAATTTAAGCCACTTGCTTAAATAGAATTCATAAATATAAGTAGGCTATATAGCATATTATTTACTTAAGCTGCTGCAGTTTTACGTCTGTTGATTGCACACTCATAAAGTAAATTGCCTTATTAAAATCCAACTATTGCCTTTTTGTAGCATATGGACCCATGTTTGCAGTATAGATAACGACAGCTTGCTGAAAAATTCAAAGGTGAAGACATCCAACTTCTGAAGCTGCATTTCCCTGAAAAGAAGAACTTCCATAAATCAGAGCCCAATGCTTATAAAGCAATCTATAGTGATCACTCCCAAGTCTTTTCTAAATGTGGATTATTTTTAAAGGAGCAATGTGCTACATAAAATCTGCAGGCTAACTTAAATTGAGAGGAATTCTTCCAAGGCACTGCAAAGAATCAGAACCGGGACTGAAACCCAACTATTCAGGATTGTAGAAATTGTTGGCGGCAACCACTGAATTAGCAAGTAATGACATTTGTTTTTACCTTATATTTTCCTAATGGGAAGAGGTACATCAACCTATAATTTCAGGATTACAAACCTGTTCCAAAGTATTGTAAGTGAAATATAGTAAGAAGACAGATTATTCATAGTTTCCAAGCAGTTAGCACATCTGCTGGTCTTTCGGGAAGCAGATTTCACAATAAGCTGACGTCAAGATCAAACTGTTGAATCATAAAAGGTCCTGCAAGAAAGTCTACAAACTCAATTTCAGACTTTGGAGGCTTGAGTGGTCATGTGTTAAAGTACATGTTAGTTAAAGTTCAGAACAAAAGACTGAACAGGTAAGACTTAAAGTGTTGTCAGAACATATCTTCGTACAAAACAGAACAGTAGTACCGGTGTAGTTTGTGAAGTAAGGTCTGAATGAACCTTAAGACTGGAACATCGTCCTTTGGACCCATAAGACCAAAGTAGAAATATTTGGCCACAAAACACAGCAGCACATTGGAAGAAATCTAAAGGACAAACTCCTCCACCCAATGATGGTGATGATTTGGTTTTAAGGTCACAGGATGCCTCACATCCCTTGAGAGAACAACAAATTCCTCTGAATAGCAAAACACTTTACAGCAGATTCAATATTTACAAACCTGATGACAATTACAGTCTGTAGTCCTAGTATTCAGTTTGTGTTTTTCCTAGTTAATGCAATACTGTAAGCTGGTTTGCTTAGCTTCAAATTACATTTTTAAGGTTTAGAGAACTTACTGAAGAAGTTCTGTCTTAGTTAATTTTCTGTATTGGTGCCTTTAACAAAGGACATGCTTGTCAAGCTGCTTAAGGCAAATAATCTTCTGTTATTTTGGCTGAATCTGGTGCGCAGTGTTCTGCTTGTAGAATATAAGCAGAACACTGCACATAATGCTGGTAAAATACATAATACATAATACAAGTAAATCTGAAATGTTTGTATGAAGGTACCCAGAAAAAGGCATACTATTCTAAACCTCCACCTAAAGGTTACACTAACTAACATTAGCCGCTAGGTTGATGATGGCAGAAAACTGTTTGTGTTGTTTCCTACTGTATGTTAAGATCACAAAACATCTTCAAGAATATTTTAAAGTAACTTCCTTTTCACAGTCACCATTGTCTCGCACATTTGAATGTAAATTACATTTTGAAACATCTTATAAATCATTGTAACCTGTGTTTTCTCCCTACAACAAGAATGCCAAAATAAATACACCAGATATATTCAAAGTGTCAAAACTCCATTGGTAATAAAAGTTTAAAAAATGGGATTTCAGGAGTTTTTTAAAGATCATCCAACAGTTAAGGCACATCCACATTGGCAGAGTTATTAATAGCATTAGATAATTCCTTGTAATTTTATAAAAGGGAAAATCTTTGACTTATGAGAGAGAAGACCAAATTATAACTATAGCTGCACATTCCACTCATTGTAAAGTCATAATGCTTCATTAACCTCAACAAAATTTAAAAAAGAAAATAATAATCTGTTGACATTATCTGTCTTGTGTGGTCAAAAACATGTAAGAGTATATATCCTTCCAACTCTTCCAACATAGTGTAGCCACATGTACATCAAAAAGGAGAAGTGCATACCAAATGTTTGAGATCAATTATCCAAGTGCTGGAAGACTTCACTGAGCAACACCCAGAGTCTGGGAAACGGCAAAAAAAAAAAAAAAGGCAGAAAACATGAGGTGTTGCAAACAGAAGAGGGTGGTGGAATGTGCAGAAAGGCCTGATAGATGAAATGAACACGGAGTAACTCTCTGGTGGTACTAATGTGATGAAGGCCTTTTTGTGACTGATTCCATCCTCTTTTTCTTGATGAGATGTGGGGGAGCCAATGCCAGGGCTCGCTGTTTTTGAAAACTGTAGGGGCCCCCGTGGTGGAGAAAACAATACCATATGTCTCTGCGCCACTCTGGAGCGTTCTTCTGACGTCTTCATGTCTGAATCAAACCCAGTAGTGAATACCCATGGTTTCCATTAACAGTTACAGGGACGTGCTCATGCGAGAGCTCAGACTACAAGCTTTCAGCTAATGAAAGAAACACGGGAGTAAAGAGGCGAATCTTGGCAAACAAACAATGACCAACACACAAGCCAACGACCAAAATTTACAGTGTTGTTCCATCAAGAGGCATAAAACATTTGCTTCAGATTAAGACTTTCAAAGATGCAAGTGAGCCCCCTCCCCAGCCACCCAACAAAACCAAACCCTCCAAAAAAAATACATACATTTGACCACAAAGTCAACACAGCACACTCTGCACATGTGTCCCACTTCAGATCCTGCTTTCCCTTGATAAAAATGAAAACTGGCTGTTATTCAGTCTTCATATTTCATGTCATTCCATAACCAGGATGATTCCTGGCTGCTGCTGATTGACAAAAAGAACTGCCGAGAGCATGTTTTACAACAAAAGTCTGGATTCTGGCATAGTAAAAGCTGGCAGGGTCCAGTGGCCAACAGCAACTATGTACTCAACATCTATGAAGCTTTG